CTCCTTCTCCCCTTTTAACTGAGTCTGCCACTCAGTTAACCCTTTATCTCCTCTCTAGTACCCATTTTCCAAAGAGAAAGAGTGAAGTACTTTGAAGTCTGAACTTGAAATCTGTCAGAAAATGTTTCTTTGTTGGTTTTGGGTTTTTCCCGTCCCAAGGTGAAGCACTGACTGTGTCCTCTGTGACTGACTGGTTTGTTCAGAGGCCCTGGACCTTCATGGCATCTTTGAGGCCCAGCTGCTTGGCTTCCTTTTGGATTTCCCTTCTTTGATTTGAAATTTGGGTTTGCTTTCTGTGTTCTATATGTACTTGTTCAGTGTCGTCAAGGCTGAGCTTCACGTCTCACTGCAGTGGAGCGAGCGGACATCTGATCGCTGCATTTCTTTAGGTCTCGGAGCTAAGTGTATATATGAGTAGTTTGCCATGAGATGACACAGTGTAAGCAGTAGACACCCAGGAAATCGTGACTTCTGTGTTCTCTCCATTTGAGTATTTTGTAATTTTTTTGAAATATTTGTGGACATAAATAAAACCAAGCTACACTACAGAACCCTGTGTGTTGGCCAGTGCATTGCCTCATTCTGGAATGTGGTGGGTGCTGCCAGGGGAAGTCTGCTGGGCCTTGCTGCTGGGCCCTACCTAACCTCCTAAGGCAGTTTCTGGAAACATAGGTCTGTGTTGCCTGGTAAGAAGAACCGCCTTATCAAACCCTTGCTCTCTGAAACCGAGATTGCCACCCACGTCCACCACTAGGGTACAGGGGAGAGTCCACTGCCTGCTGAGGGCTGTCAGAGCCATCCTCCAGAATCAGTCCAGGTTGAAGATGCCCTAGACCCTGTAGGGCAGCACTTCTCAACCTGTTGCAACCCTTTTGGGGGTCAAGTGACCTTTCACAGGAATTGGACATTAGATATCTATAGCACTCTTCACAACAGCAGCAAAATTAGTTATGAAGTAATAGCAGAGTGCTTCTGTGGTGGGGGTCAGCACAACTGTACTGAAGGGTTGCAGCATTAGGGAGCTTGAGAACCGCTGCTGTAGGGGTTTCCCCAGAGCCTTCATGCTGGATAACTCTTGAGTGTGGATGTGGCCATCAAAGTCCAGGGTTCCTGGTTTTTCCTGAGACAGCATTTCACGGTTTAACCCTGGCTGTACTGGAACTCCTTTGTAGGCCAGTCTGCGATGCAAAGAGCAGTGTGTGGCTAGGATCCAGGTGGCAGCTGCTGTAAGCTTTAATTCTTACTGAGTGTAGGCCTATGAAATGGAGGCATCAGACCCAAGTGTCAAAAACTGCTCTGTGAGCCTCACCGCCCCAATACTGGATGTATAAGCAGTGGAGGAAAAAAACGGCATCCACAAACCCCTGTGTTCATAGGACAGCACAATAGCCACAGTGGTCACTTGTGTGTGCGTTATATTTATATGTAGACAGTGGAATGCTATTTGGTCAGAAATGAAACCCTCTTTAGAAGCAGCCTGCATGGAACTTGCAGTGATTTAGGTGACACCATGTATTCTGATTGAATGAAGCTAAAAGTCTCAGTCCTTTTGGAAGTAGGAGAGAATGGCTGTCCCTGGAGACTTGGAAGGGTGGGGAGAGGGCCAGGAAGTTGACTTCACCATAGTTTATGTTAACTCTTCTATAGTTTTATAATAAGAGTTTAAACTAGCGCAGGGTGGTGGTGCACACCTTTAATCCCAGCACTGGGGAGGCAGAGGCAGGTGGATCTCTGTGAGTTCAAGACCATCCTGGTCCACAGGACTGCATAGAAAAACGCTGTCTTGAAAAAACAAAAGAAAAAGTCTAAACTAGGAGAGTCCAGAAGTTTCCACGGCGAACCATCATAAGGCCTGCTAGCCTTTGGGATTTGGTTCTTCATAAATGTCTACTAGTGTGTATCATTAAGTAGGGTGTGGACATTAATCAGGCCGTTTACATGGCCACTTATCCAAGGCAGAGGGACCGACCACAGCTGGGTGAATGAAGTGATACAAAGCACTCTTGCCTCAGGCCAGCCCTGCCTGTGGCTACTCTAGTGACCAGCCCCCCATATGACCTCCAGCTTCCCCTTCTTGTTGCAAGTGGGCTAAGCAAATGACTCTGTGATGTGGTGGGAGGTCCTGAGCCTCAGCCCATATTAGCAAAACTGGGTGCCCCACCCTGCCTGCCTTCCCTCCCTCCCACCCTCCCTCTCAAATGTAGTCACCTGGCTGCACTTCCGAGTGCTATGATGACAGACCAGTTTGCACAGTACTGAGGCTTCATGTTGGGGGGTCCATGAGCTGTGGGTAACTTCCAGAACTCTTGGGCCCAGAAACCAACTCAAGGATTTCCCTGAGCAGTTCTGCCCAAAAGGTACCCCAGTGCCAGGACCTCCATCCTCAGACGCCCTTACCTGCTCACAGGAGGCAAAGGAGCCCTTCAAGCCTGGGTCTGAACCTTGCACGTAGCTCTGAGCAAAAGAGAACTTATGGAGCCCAGGTACTGTGGCTTCTGACATGTTTGAGAGAATCTGCCTCCATTCCCATGAAGCCTTGTAGCACAATACAGGAAGTGCCAGCTGACCACACCCCTAATATCCCTTGGTGAGCAAGCAGATAGGAAAGAAAGTTACTCGGCACCGAGGCATCCATCCTCAATACCAGGTAAAGGGTTCATGGGCACTTGGGATGGTGTTTCTGAAAGGAACAAAGGAAGGAGAGTAGCTTCTAGTTTGAACAGGATGGCTTTATTTTTGGCTTTGGTGGCCTCAGTGTCTTTTTGTTGTTGTTTGGGGTTTTTTAATTTTTGTTTTTGAAGACAGAGTTTCTCTGTGTAGCTTTGCAGCCTGTCCTGAAACTAGCTCTTGTTGACCAGGCTGGCCTTGAACTCACAGAGATCCACCTTCCTCTGCCTCCCAAGTGTTGTGACTAAAGGCATGCATTACCACTGCCCTTGCTCATGTGGGACCCTTCTTAAAGGCACTGGGTAGAGGGTAGAAACTTTTTTCCTCTCCTGCCATGGATGGACAAGCTCACTAAAGTGAATCCCTGGAGGAACAGCGAGGAGCCTGGGAAGCCAACCCCCACGTAAGGGTGGGGCTCTCGGGCTCAGTGTGCAGTGGTTGCTCTACTGCCCCCTGCTGGGAACAGCCTGGAGTGCTAGCCTGACTCTGCTCCAATCTGGGTCAGGCACAGAGCAGCTACAGCCACCTTTCAGGAAGAGGCTGACAACCCTGTGTGAGAAACCAATGTGTTTACATTTATATGGAGAGTTCCAGGAAGAGGACCTGGGATTTGACAAGCTAGCGGCTGGCTGTAGCTTCCCTTGTCATTTCTCTGCCAGACTGGAGCAGTCCTGGAAAAAAAACAACCCAGAGCAGAGGATAGCTATTCAGGACCACATTCTTGAGGAACCTAAACTCTTCTTGTGTAGTTGGGTGGTCTATGGTGCTGGGGGAAACATAAGCCTAAGGAGTCCCCTGGAACTGTGGCTCAAATGTAGTTCAGAGCACAGAATGGGGCTGGAGAGGTAACTTTTTTTTTTTGTGGGTGCTTGCCACAAAAACACGAAGATCTGAATTAGATCCCTGGTGCCACAGAAAAAGTCAGCTGTGATGGAATAATACTTTTAATCCCAGTGCTGGGGAAGCAGGGACAGGAGGTTCCTGGAGTGCTCTGGCTAACTAGCCTAGGCCTTGAGCCCTGGCCTCCACGTGTATGCAAACACACTCACATTCACAGATATGAACACACTTCTTCAAGCACAAAGATTGCAAAGACAGAACTTGAAGAAAGGGAGTCGCTAGTCCAAGTATAGGAAGGTGGGACTCTAGAGGAATGACAGCTCTCGAGGACTAGCCGTGGGGACAGCCCTGAGTGGACCACAGGCAGAGGAGAATAGGGCTCTCCTTATGAACACAGGGTCAGTGTCTATAGCCTTGAGGCTGGGGCAGGATGGGAGGAAGTGGCTTGAAAGGCAGCCTGGAGGCAGGTTAGACAGGAGGCAAGGATCCTGAGTATCCATCAGGGTATGTGATAGCTGGAGGTGAGTCAGAAGATGACAGGAGAGCAGAGCACAGAAAGATGCTACATCCTGGAATCACTGAGGACTAGCACCTGGATGCATCTGTGGGTTACATGAGAGGTTATGACTATGACAAGGGAGTTGACTGTGAGCCAAAGGGAAGGTGACTTAATACCACAGAGGTCATGGGTTTCTGCTCAACTGGCCCTAACTGGTCAGAGCAAGCTGACGAGCTCCGTGTTGATGCTCACATTCTCTTCAGGGCTGGCAATGGTGGTCAGAGACCATGCACTGGGGGGCGGGGGACGGGGAATGGATGGACTAGGGGCCACATAGCCCCACACCAGGCTCAGAACATTAGGAACCACAGTGCCCTTTCCCAGCTCTTCCTACACAGCCAGTTAATCAGCAGAATGGGAGAAAGAGTTGCCCAGGACATCTCTAGGGCAGCCTCGAGCAAGCTAGGGTGCTGGGTGGTGAAAGGTGGTCAGAAAAGGTGGTCTCAGGAGAAGTCAGCTCTCCAGGTCAGTAAGAGGTGCTAGAAGCCCAGAGACATGGCCCATATGTTATCCCTCTGTAAGCCTGGCTCCCAACAGTGGTAGTAGTAGTCATCCCAAAACCCAGAGACCTTCAGCGTCCGTCTGTGTAATGAATGGCTGAGAAGGGAGGGGACATGGCACTCGGGCAGGAGGGTGGTATGGGCAGCTGTGTCCCTGATGCTCTCCAAGGGTCTCATTTCCTTGGGCGTGTTGTTGATGTGTGTGCTCACTCAGACATGTCAAGTAGACTCTCATTCAGAGATTGTCCCCTTTCTTTGTGGGGATGCTCAAAGGCATCTCACTAGAGCGAGCCCCGGACTTGACTGCTGCCCTGCTCACAGCCTATAACACTCGCTACCTTTTTTTCGCATGAGCCTCTGTTCCTGGTGGTGGGGTGGGGTTTTTTGTTGACTTACATTAATCCCTGAACTTCCCCTGGACTCCCCTGGGTGGGAGGACGGTGTGCCTGAGAGATTAACTTAAAGGGGGAAAGTGTCATTTTGCTTTTATCTTAAGTTCTAGGCCATGGTCTCTGTTGTGTTGAGCTTATGGCAGTGGCTCCATGCATCACATGAGATGTATAGCCAAGGAACTGCTCAGCTAATGGCAGCAAGAAGCAAAGAGAAGAGGCCACCATCCCAATATCCCCTCCACCATGTGTCCTAATGACTCAACTTCCTCCCACTAGCCCTTGCCTCTTAATGCTCCATGACTTCCCACTTGCACAGTGGGCTGGGTACCAAGGCTTCAGATCCAAACTATATAGCAAATGGATAGACAGAGGGATGGATGGAGGATGGATGGGTGAATGGATGGATGGAGGGATGGATAGATAGATGGAGGGATGGATGGAGGATGGATGGATGGGTGAATGGATGGATAGATGGATGGAGGATGGATGAATGCAGGGAGGAAGGGATGGATGTCTGGATGGAGGATGAAGGGAGGAAGGAGGAATGAAGGAGAAAGAAAGAGAGGGAGGGAGTAGGGATGGTTATGAGGCTTTCTGAACCACCACGGGGTGGGGCAGGGGCAACACAAACTGATATAACCATGATGCAGTATGCAGAACATACGGCCCAGATAACCAGAGTTACGGTGTTCTCCACTCTGCACCACTGGCATCTTGGCCTGGATAAGCCTTTGCTGCTGGGGGCTGTGTGTCCTAGGATGTTTGTGACATCCTCAGATGGCAAATGGCACCCAGCTAAGCTGTGGTGACCGACACTATTGCAAACCTTGCAGGGAGCAGGCAGCTAGCAAAAGCATCCTTGATGGAGAAGTACAGTTGAGCTCTGAGTTATATCCTCTCTTTTGATAAATGAACTTCACAGGACACCACCATCCCCAGGAGGGTAGCTCTGCCCAGGTGACCTCATGCCCTTGGATAAGAGAAGCTTCTAGAAGGCTTGGCTGCTGTCTTTATTTACCAGATATTTACATTCCACGGGAAGCCTGGCTGGCTGCCAAGGCTTTTGGTTTCTCAGTGGCCAGCCTGTCGCAGACCACCTTCAAGTCCAAAGTCGAGATTCTGAGGCATCAGACATTGAGCAGGAGGGGCTGCTGCTCCTCGTCAGCCGCATCACCAGAGGGAATTTCATAGGTGACACACAGAGAGGAGTAGAGGCAGCCGAGGAAGGACACGAGGCTGGAGAAGTACATCACGCCATTGGCACTGCCCACGGCCGAGGTCAGGGGCCCCAGGACCAGAGAGACAAGGATCTGAGCCAGAAAGTACTGGCAGCTAAGCAGCGAGATGTCCATTCCCATGCCACGCCGTGTGCCGTCTGCGCTGGACCCTGCAAACTGACCAGGGAACAATCTCATCAGTTAGACCTGCCACAACCTCCATGAATGTGCAGGGATGAGGGGACCCAGGAAGAGCAGACAGGTGGCACAGGACCATAGCAGAGGTCAGCCAGTGTCCAGAGGCATAACAACCGGAAGGAAGGCTGGCTCCTGGCACAGGACTGTCCCTGCTTCAGCACCTGCCTGGCCTCGGGGCAGTGGCTGCACAAGTCATGAATATACCAAAAGCCACTGTCCTGGAACTCCTGGAACTCACTCTGTAGACTAGGCTGGCCTTGAACTCACAGAGATCCACCCACCTCTGCCTCCCAAGTGCTGGGATTAAAGGCGTGCCACCACCACCTTGCCACTCTGTTTCTTTTACTTTATGTTTTGAGACATATCCTCACGTCACCCCAACTGGCTTCGGACTCACTGTGTAGCAGGTGACCTCGAACTCTCCTGACTCACACCCTGCTGAGTAACTCTGAGTCCTGGTGCTGAGGATGTGGAGGCAAGCAGACCACTTTGAGGCCAGCCTTAGCTACAAGGGACAGTTGTGGAAAACAAAAGCAAAACCCTGTGCAGAATCAGACCCCAGTAAAATGGCCAGAAAAGAACTTGTGCTGAGGGCCAACAAGATGGCACAGTGGGTACAGGGGCTTGTCATCTAGCGATACAAGCCTCACAGCCTAAGTGTGGTTAGCAGAACTTGTGTATGGGTGGAGGAAGAAGACCAGCTGCACTGGAGTCCTCTGACCCGCGCACATACGTGGTGGCCCATGTGACCACACACGCACATCTTAGACACCAATAGTAAAGATCTGGACTAAATAAAACAAACCTTTTTCTTTCCCTCGTTAGAGACAGATCTTCCACATCAACTCTGCCTTTAAGCTCTACCCCCACCCCCGCCTCCGGGTGGTGTTGGCGCACACCTTTAATCCCCCGCACTCGGTAGGCAGAGACAGGTAGACAGATCTCCATGAGTTCGAGGCCAGCCTGATCTACAGAGTGAGTTCCAGGACAGCAAGAGCTAAATAGCAAAACCCTGTCTCAAAAAACAAAAAACAAAACAAATTGGCCTCTCTCATGTTGTCATCACCACATTCCGGGTGTCCTGCTTTCCCTCTCTGGACCCAGCCTTGAACTGCTGTGTTCATAGTGGACCCCCTTCCACAGCGTCCCTGTTCAGAGTGGGAAGTAGCCTGGAGGTAGCCTCAGGAAGGTGCCAATGCTGGCTGGGGAAGCTACTGGTGTGGAGCGAGCACACTCAGAAGGGCTCCCTCCATTCAAAACTGTCAGCCTCTGCCTGGATGATCTCCATTCTCAGCCAAAGGCCCTGCGGCTCGCACACGACAGTTCTCTGTTAAAATGCCTCTAAGGAGCAAGTGGCGACCGTACCCACCTTCTTACTCTGGTAGTAATCGCAGAGCAGGGAGTAGGGCAGGGTGCAGAGCGTGGAGAACAGGATGCCGTAGGTGGTGCAGAGGGACAGGACCACATAGAGGTTCCTGGAGAGTGTAGCCAAGCCAGTGCCCAGGCCAAAGGCGAGGTAGGCGATGAAGTAGAGGGTACGGACGCTCAGGCACTCCTCCAGTTTCTCCAGGATAGCTGCAGGCAGGACAGAGACTGAATGGCTGGCCAGGCCTTTCCCCTGCACCATGTCTCATCTCCCCCTCACAGAGCAGACGTGGGCACAGGAAGCAGCTGAGCAGGTGGCTTGTCCCTGCAGGCCTGTTGCATGGATAGCAAGACCTGGGCTGTCCTCATTCACACCTGCCGTATAAGGGTCCTGGGGCGTCTGTGGATCGACAGGTGAGACTCCCGAGGGCTCAGGAATGTGGGGTCTTAGGTTAACCTTGGTCTCCAGCCTGCAATGGGAGCCCCAAGTCTACCCCTTAACTGGCCATCATCTTCAGTATACCATGGGCTACCCAGAGAACACATGACGGAGTAAAGGAAAACCTAAGGCTAAGGGGGTCCCAATACCCCCAAAGTGCTGATCTCTGGGGCTCACAAGTAAGGCTAACATCTAGTTTGGGGGTCTCTGGGGATTGAACTTGGCTTGAAACATGCTAAGCACATACATAGACTATTGCACTGGGCTGCAACTCCACAAACTCTGTTCGTCCCCAGCCCCCCTCAGGTGAGGAAGGGCAGAGAAGGCAGTCAGCGTACTGCAGCCAGTAGTCTGGTTGTTTTGACCTATTTTTCAAACTTTTGTCACTTGTGTGTGGTGCTACAAGATGGGGCCTAGAGCCCTGTAAGTGCTAAGGAATGTCTTCCACCATGACCTGCCCAGTCTGCAACCTTCCCTGTCCCTGGTCCTGGGATAAGCCACGCATGGTGTCCCAGGAGCACAGCCTCAGAGTCAACCCAGACTCCAGACTCTGCCCACCCTGCACTCCACATTCTAGCTTCTCCCGCCCCTCACATCACCATGGATGGTCACCTGCCTCCTTCCCAGGCCTCCTTTGGCCCCATTGTTCTATGGAACCTTGTGAGAAGAATAGCTTTAGCAGCCACACCCCTGCCTCTATGTGCCCCCCCCCCCCCCGGCTTGTACCCAGGCCCTGCTTTGCCCTTAGGTGTGAACCCATGGTCTAGGCAAGTCTACACATGTCCCCTTTGCAGTGCCTCCTCTTTGGAGACCTGAAACCCACAGGGTTGGTCTCTGCACCCCAGACAGCCACTCTTGGTCCAGGACAGTGCAGTAGCTGAGGTCTCAGACAAAAGACAGAGGTGTCTCCTCTAAAGGGGTACTTCACGCCTGCAAGTGTAGAGACGTGACCTCTTGGTCGTTCAGTGGGCAGCGCGCATGCAGTAGACGGCGGGTACCTGAGTAGAAGGCGGCACTGAATGCGTAGATGCACATGCCCCAGCAGCCCATGGTGACGCCGCTGTTGTACTTCTGATATGCTTCCGACGTGTGTGGTGCCTTTGGGTCCCCCTGGAACACCACCTCACCCATGAAGTCCGTGTAGAAGAGCAGCATGCCCTCAAATGAGAGCCACCCTGGAGGAAGACAGAGGCTGTGACCTCGGGCCACCGAGGCTGCGGTTCAGCCTTTCCTTCCAGCACTCTTACTAGACAGAAGGTAACACACAAAAGCCAGGCTTAGTGGCTCACACCCGGTGTCTCGGCACTTAGAAACTAAAGGAAAGAGAAGATTAGAAGTTCAAGTCCAGCCTGGGCCATATTAACCAGGGTCATGAAGCTTTCGTAAAGTGCCTTCGTTTTGGTTGCAATGTGGCAGTTTCCATATTGACAGTAATTCAGTTCCAGTTTCCAGAACTGTAGAGTTTGTTATTTCTAAAGTCTTGCCTCCCTGTCCCAAAGAGCCTCACCCAGTAAAGGCTGGCTGCCAGGAATGTTTATCCATCACCTAACATCCTTGTTTGTGTGTTTTGTTTGACAGGGTTTCTCTCCACGATCCTGGCCATCCTGGAACTTGCCGTGTAGACCAGGCTGGCCTGGAACTCAGAGATCCACCTGCCTCTGTCTCGTGGGTGCTGGGATTAAAGGTGTGCGCTAGCACACCCAGCAAGGGTAAAAATATATTAGGAAGTGCAAACTGCCATGTGGATAGACTGATCCTGCTTCCCAGTGCCACTCTTTGAAGATTCTTCTGACACCGTCCTCAGCCGAGGGCAGTGATGGTCAAGCCCTCTCAAGCCACAATAAACGGTCCACCTCATCAAGTAATGTTGTCATAATCTGTATGTGTGTACCGTGTGTGCTCACAGGTGCATACTTGCACATGTGTGTGCTTGCATGTGGAGGCCAGAGGTCAACATCATTGTCCCCCATTGCTCTCCATCTTATCTCCTTCAGACAGGGTCTCTCGCTGAACTTGTAGCTCCTTAATTGGCTAGAGTGGCTGGCTGACCCCCTGGATCCTTCTGTCCCCACTCTGCCAGGGCTGACATTACAGACGTGTGTACCATGCCCACACCACATGGGTGCTGGGGAGCCAAACTCAGTCCCCATGCTTGTGTGGCAAGCACTGTGCCGACCGAGCTATATCTTTAGCCCACCAAATATTATTAATCTCACTTCCACAACAGCAGAGTCAGTCCACACACAGATACGTCATTTACCCCTTCCCCAGATGGGACACCTGTGTCCCTATCCTAGCTTTTGTTGGCATAAACTGTGCTCCACTAAACACCCATCGCATAGGTGACGGTGCCATCATGATTGTCGCTTATGTGGGACACCCTGCAAAGATCACTGTGGGAAAGGCTGACTCCATTTTTAAGATTCTTGCCTGTCACCAGGTGGTGGCGCACGCCTTTAATCCCAGCACTCAGGAGGCAGAGGCAGGCACATACTGTGAGTTTGAGGACAGCCTGGTCTAAAGAGTGAATTCCAGGACAGGCTCCAAAGCTACAGAGAAACCCTGTCTTGAAAAAACCAATAGTAATAATATAAAAAGTCACTTGCGTGCCAAGCCCTGGTGATTTGAGGGCACCACCAGGCATGCAGGTGTGTGGGTCTGCCTGCCCTCGTCTGAGGATGGCATTCCAGGAAAGCAGGGTTCATTATTAACCTGGAGGAGCAGATGGAGGAACACTAAAACCCCGAGAAAAGGAGCTCTGTGCCCAGACCCAGCGCAGGCACCCAGGCACAGACGGCGTCATGGCTCACCCAGAAAGTGGTTGACACAGAGATTGCGCAGTGCCTTGGGCATGTTGTAGATGGTGGAGCAGAGGCGCCGCAGAGACAGCGGCTGCTCCGACTGCTCGCTGGAGCCGGTCAGCTCACTCTCGTACTTCACACCGTTCAGAAGGATGTTTGCGACCTGAAACAGAGACTGAGTCAGAGCCGCCAGGCCCACGTCCCCCAAGGCGTGTGCTGGAGCGTGCTGAGAAGCAAAGTGTGGACAGCTCACAGCACACACTGCAGGGACCTCTGTCTTTTACTAAATTTTATTTAGTATTATCATTATTATTGGATGTGTGGTGCATAGTGTGTGTGTTATGTACAGATGTGGATGAGTGCAGGTGTATCCATACCATAGCACACATGTGGAAGTCAGGACAATTCTGGGAATACAGGGACCAAACTTTGGTCATCAGGCTTGTGCAGCAGGGCATTTGTTCAGCTGGGCCATCTTGCTGGCCCCACTCTGCCTTCTGACAGGGTGGGAACCAAGCACCAGGCACCAGGCACCCCATGGGCTTCACGACTGAGACCTGGGAGCAGCTACAGGTGGAAGCTCATTGTGAGCGCTCCACAGTACAGCACGGGTCTCTCTCTCTCTCTCTCTCTCTCTCTCTCTCTCTCTCTCTCTCTCTCTCTCTC